AGCCATATGTGCTTGAAATGCATTTGATGGGAGACAGTATACTTCATGTGCTGCATCTCAGCTATTGTTTTTGGTTGATTCAGTTAACATGTTCTAAAACTGGCTGATTTACTGAAGATTTGCAAACATAATTCATGTGCACTTGCACTATGAATAAGCCTCTAAAGCTAATTCAAGCATAGTCAAAAAATAAATTGCAAAATAAGTTATTCAATTGAAATCTGCCATCTGAGGCACTGTAATAGAAAACATTTATTATAAAACTAACATATATTTGTGGCTAGAGATGTGTTCAGTACTAAACATCTCTTTGTGAGGGATTTATTCAGGCTTTTCTGAAAGAACATCTTAACTGGGCTAACAGAAAATTACATGTTCAAAACTAATTGCAGGTTCTATGATTTTTCATCCTGCATCACAGGCTTCCCAGTTTCACTCCTTTTGTTTTGGAAGGCTTATGAATTTTAGGCAAATTTTTTTTCTTCACAGCTGCAGGAGCCCATTTCTGGAGTCTGGATTTGTGATTTGAACACTGGAAAGATACAGGTAGGATGCGATGCACAAGGAGAGGAAGCACTGATACCAACACATTTTTCTTCAAATGTAATGCTCTAAATTTGGCAAATTCACTTCACAAGGCTGCTGGGCTGTGAAAGTCAGGCTATGCTACACTGGAGGCCTCAAGTGACTCAAAAGAAGTGTTTCCTCTTCAAAAGTGAGAGTATTTTGCTAGTTCAGCCTTTCATCAGTGCTCAAGGGGAGCTCTTTGAAATGAGTACATGCCTGTAATTAATAATGATAGTCAAGTCTAAATGACTGTGTCTGACATCACGGTCAGTCATTGATAGGTCCAATTCAGACATAAAGATTCTCACACAGTACACTGGAATAGGGAGTTTGAATTTTTAAAATTTTTTGTATTCCCTCCTCTCCAAGGAGAGATAGTGAAAGCCCTGAGAAGGAACATCCCTGTCCAGATTTCTCAGTTATTGGAGAAGAGAATTGAGAATGGACAGTAAAAAGAAAGACAAAAGCTGGAAGACAATGGGAAAGATCAGACTATTTCTAATTAAGAGCTTTTTTTTCCCCTCAAGCTTGGAACATCTGGCATTGCTACCAAGCCATGGGTAAAACTGTACTCTGTTTCTAGCCAGTCCTTGTGCCTCAGTGCTGAAGGCAGAGCTGAGGGGACTCAGGCCAGGTCCATCCACTGCAATCCTCTGACAGTGTCACAATCCAAGTGGAAAGGGAGGAACCTGCACCTCCTTGAACAGAAGATTCCATTGCTCAGTGGATGGTTTTGAGCATGTATTTGGGAAAAAAATCAGCACTACCACAGAATCAAATTTTTACCCCTCTTATTGTATCCTTCTACAGCTGTGTTGTTAAAAAAAATGGCAGCTCAATGTTTTAAACACATTTTGATTCAGAGCTCATACATCTGCAATACAAAGTGTACCCCATTACTTCCACAGTTAATATGTTCTGGGTAAAGATGTTTTTAAGAAGTCATATGGCAAATTGGATACCATTCCAAACTGCTTCCAGTAATTTTAGGGGGGGGTTCTAGCAGAAATTTTCTGTAACTTAAACTTATTTTTTTAATTTAACAGTTTTCAAGTAACATAATCCATAAAGTCTTAATGAGTTCATTTTCTGGCAAGTCTGAATAGGTGCTGAATATGAGACACATATCAAAATCTCTCACTTGAGTTATGCTAAAGTTTTCCCCTATTCCCTCTTTTCTTCTTCTGAAGTGGATGAAGAAGACCAGGAAAGTATGCTGTCAAGCTACTTAAGAACTCTCAAATGACCTTGTCAGGAAAAAAACCCAACTCTTTGATTCATATTTCAAAATCCTGACTAATCTGCCCCTTCTGCTCTTCTGCTTTCTTGCTTCTGTAACTGTGACAGAATTGAGTTCAATATTAATGATGAGCAATCATTTCCAGGCTACAAACTCTGCTGCCTTCTGCAGTCCAAGTGCTTCGTTAGCTCGGCTGCGTCAGTCAGATGCCCACTTTTGTATTAGTTTCTGCTGGGTTAAAGATAATAGAAAGCTGGGCTGGTAGCTCAGCTAAAAATAAACTCTTATCACTCAAGTGCCTCTGAGTTGCAGGTGAACCATTCAAGTTGACTTCCCTTGAACAGGCCTGTTACCCAAAGATACCTTGTGCCACTCTCTAGAGGTGGTTTCATTGAAAGGCATTTTTCATTTTTTTAATAAAACAAAGTATTTCTTTTCTTGAGACAAACAGGTATTTCTCTCTACACTGCAAGCAGAAAGCAGACACCTTAATTACACTGCTATTGTTTTTCAATGCACACTTAAATAATTCATCCTGCTGAATAAAGCCAGCTTTTTGTTAGAAAAGAATACAGAGTTGGTTTGATGCAGCAGATTTCTTTAAAAGATGCAAATGAAGCACAAGCCTGGAAGCAGAACTCTGCTGATTTTCAAAACTTCTGATTACTGTTGGTTTTTAAATCTGTTAAACATATGGAATCCTCCAGCTGCCTTTGTGAGATCCCTCTGGCAGGTACTTCCTGCCTTCAGTTAGATCCAACCCTGCCCTTCCAGCTCTTTCAGCGTGACTCTACAGTCTGGCTCCACACGAAGACTTGACAATTAGAATATTCAAGCAGGATTTTATATTTGGAATTGAGAAGTAGATTTTTAATATTAAAACCCTGTAAAACTGTCTCAAAAAGTTAGTGTTTGTACAAAAGAGCTTTAGTTTGGTGACAGCAGACTTAGATTTTCTATAAAATCCCAAATCTGTTTTTATTCACCCACTAGAGAATTTTTTTTCTTCAGTAACTATGAAGAATCTTGGTCTTGTAAGGTTAAAAGAAGCCTTTGGGATATTTCTCAAAATAACAATTGTGTGGTGAGAATGCAGAGCAGCTACTGAAGCCACAGGAGCAAGCTAGGGCTCCTCTCCACAGGATCTGCACAAGCTCTCTGGATATCAGAATCCCAAAGAATATAAAATTAAAGCTTTTCTATCTTGACAACCATACAAGAGCATAAGGAGCATTTAAACTCCCCAAATCCAAACAGAACAACATGGGAAAAATATCGGGGAAGGGAGAATGAAAAAGGAAAAACAGATTAAACAATTGTCATGCTGCATAAAAGAGCTGGGACAAATTCTTCTCACTATTCTTTTCCTCTCTGTGGAAAATTACAGAAATTAAAGCCCTAGTGGCAACGTCTGGGAAAGAGAAAGCTTCCCTTCCTCCCTCCTTCCCTTCTTCTCAGCAGTTTCTATTTTAATGCCACTCCCTCTATATACACACAAGTATATCATGTATACATTTACACACATATACATACCTATATGCATATGTAAACTGAGAATCAGCCTTGTCAGCATCTGACTCATAAGGCCCAAAGCAGCAGTATATGATTTCTCTTCATTTTTTGGGTGACAACACTGGGATCAATGACTAAGATTCACATGCTCTGTATATATGTAACTAAACTAATCAACAGTTTTCAAACAATTTTTTTTGTGCAATAAATCCCTTTAGAAATGTTTGAGTGGCTATTTTTAATGTTTGAGTCAGGGCGAATTTTGCCACAGCCAAGAGTAGTGACCTCTGTCAAAAAGAATGATCTATTGGCCAAATAAAACCCATTTGTAATATTTAAGTGAAAAAAAGCAGTGCATAGATCTTTGTGCAAGGCAGAGCACCTTGCTCAGACTGCCTCTTACAGTCTGCATTCTTTTTCCTGACCAGAGACATCCAGAGTGTCAGAGAAGTTCTACACTGAAAAAGAAATTATCCTTTTCTTTACAAAGAGACAGAAATCTTAACAGACATCCGACATATCCCTTCAAGGTATCCATGTGTGACTTTAGATTCTCTACAAGCATTCCTGGTTTTGCCCAGAGTCAGACATCTCAGTCACAGAATAAACAGGACAGTTTTAAAGCATGTCAGTTCAAAATCTCTTGCAATACTTTGCCAAGATTTACCTTTCTGTTTTTCCTCTTGGGAAGACAGAGGGTCACAAGGCCTCCAAAAGTGGTGGGAGCATAAGTTCCATTTGAAGTCAATAGGATTTGTAATCCTAAATCCCTCAAATGTCTTTGAAAACCTCTGTGGATATGTGTCTTGACAAAAGCATCAACTCTGCCTTTCTTTTGACACTGAATTTCCTATTTCCCTAAAGACAGAGCATCTACACTCTTAAGTTCTAATCCAAATGACATTCCTGTGAGCTACAGACAATACAAGGAACATGCTTGGCAATGAAATACAGAAATAGATGTAAAGTGAAATTTTCAAAAGCTCCTTCAGAGACTTTCAATAAGGATTTTCTTCCTAAACACTTGAGTTTGGAATTTCTTTTTCCTGGTATGGCTGTTGTATCCAATACTATCCTGGACACAATTAGAATGGGGTTTTGGGGTTTTATCCCATCCTTTAGTTACTGGCCTGGAAATATTTGAAGTACTGCCATAACTTAAACACTCACCAAGACAAAGTGAAAAACATCATTTACAGAGTGTGATCTGAAACAGCAGCATATACACAACACCATTTTCCTTTTAAAATTAGCTCTGAAATTCATGCATTACAGCTGGTTTCGAAGAATTGGCCCCTTGAGTGTTAGAAAATGCAGTGGTTACATTTGTGACATTAATTTAGCAAAGTCTTTAACATGAAAGAAAATGAATGTGAAGATCCCTGTTTTAAATTGCATGTTAAACCAAGATTCATGGTTACAGAGAATGTCTCTGAGCACACATTTCATCATTGAATATAAAGCAGAATGGATGGGGATTAAAAAACATGGTGAAAAATACCGAGATGAGTTAAACTCTTTCACATAAACCACCTCAAGCTGTGACTAAATTGGGAACGAGATGTAAGCATGAATAAAGCTCTCCACTAATGCACAGGACAGACAGAGGAAGAGAGGCATAAAGCATATGGGGATATCACAAAACAGCAGAAGACAACCACAAAATGTGTACTAAGTTTACCTTGATCAAATGGCTTGTTTGGATTCCAGTTCCTGAAATAATCATCCTAAATGGGGATTAAAAAAAAAAAAGAAAACTCAGGAAAAATACAATCAGTATTTTCAGTACTATTTTATATAACTAAATGAATCAACTTGTGTTTTGATTCTAGCAGATTTAGCTCCAATCAGACAAGACTATCAACAGGTTGTGTCCTAAATAGTAGTAAATGCAGGTTAAAAATTAAAGAATGAAAATGTCCTTGGATTCAGCAACTTGAATTTTTCTCCTGGATTGTTGTTGAAAGCATGCCCATTATTAAATATTTTATTATAACTCTGTATTATTTCATGTTAGTCTACAGTTTTTGACAAGAAAGAACATATTGTTCAGTAGTATAACACGATCCACACAATCCTGGTGTGGTGAAAGGTCAACAAAGTAAATTCAAAGATACATCCATCTGGACACATGTTAATCATACCACTGTGAATGTACAGAAGTACAGGAGCAATACTACAGACATTACACTTCAATAGTACAACAACTTCCAGAAGCACTTGCAGTGAATATTTTTGTCACTTTTCCCACTATTAAACTTTAAAAAATTTCTGAAATCTGATGCAAAGAGATCATTGTGCTGTAAGTGTTGTGGTTCTGTTCTCTGGATTTTACACTGGAGAAAGCAGGGACTGTCAGAGTGCCTGGCCAAAAAATGATTGTTGCAAACTAGTCTCTCTCCAGAAAGAATGGAAAACTCTTCCATGTGTTGCATCAATCTGTATTCTGTGTGCTTAGCAAATATTTATCTGAAGGCAAAATTTTCCCTGCTTCAGAGTGCCATCAACCCTAGTGCTGAAGAACTGGGAGTCAAGCCCAACTGATTTATCAGTTTCAGCATACTCTGTGTATCTCACTTGTGTTCTCTTTCAGAGTAGGTGATAACAGAATTATCTATCTGAGGTGAGGAGCATAGAAAACTTCTACAACACTGTCATATTTTTCTGCATATTAATCTTTGTTTCCTTTTTAATGTATCCAGTATTCTATGTTCATTTCCTGAGGGATGCCACTAAATAGATTTATTCATCAAGCTGTCCAGAATGACACCGAGATTTCTTTTTCCTGCCAGGACGGTAACTAAAAACCCATCTGTGTGAATAAGACATCTAAATTATTTTTTCCATAGGGCTTCATTTACCATTTATCTCCAGTACACTGAATTTCACATGCTCTCATGGATATCATCAGTCACTCTAACCTGGAATATTTTGGAGACTTGGCAGTCAGCATGACTTTATGGGCTCAGAACAGGCTGTTGCAGGAGTGAGTACTCCACAGACTCAGTGAACACCAGGAGATGCACTTCATGTTCCTTTCAGAACACTATGGACAGGATTTTTCTGCTGCTCTTCTCTGCCTGCTCTGGAGCAGGCAAGCATGGGCAAATGCTGGCTTAGATCAAATTATTCTGCATGACTAGCAGGAGGAAATGTATGTTTTTTTTAACCAATATGTTCATGCTCAGTGTCATACTGACTTCATGGACAGTGATAATGTTCCACAATAACAGCAAAGACTATTACCCATAATTTATTTCAGATACATCAAAAGTATTTGTATTTTTTTCTTCACAAGTATAAGGTTTGGCACTAGAAATAGAATCGCAGGCTTGCCTTTGAATATCACAGCTTTCCTAATACAAAACCCCCTCATGGTTATACAATGTTTTGTAACTGATGATGATGTACTGCTAAATTCACCAAGCATTAATCACTTTTCAGAATGTGTTGGTTTTTCAGCTTTTGTAGCAGAATTTTCTTCAGCAACAAAATATTCTTTTTTTTTGCCTGCTTACATTTTTTCCAAGGTGTTGCTTTGCTGCTGAGTTTTCAGCATCAGAAACTGTTAAATAATTCAACTCCCAACAAGGATTTCTTATGCTGGTGGCATATGGAACCAGTTCTGAAATAAGGATTGGAAAGGGGCTCTATCTCAATTTCAGTGTCAAAGGAATATTTTACAAAAAATGCACCTTCCTCACAAAAATACCTACAACACAACCATCTCTTCTGCAGATCTATTATTCCTCCTCTTCTCCTTCATGCAGACCTGTTTAGTATTCCATTTTGAAAATTGAAATTATGCATATTTTAGAACGTGCCTGAAACCACAGTGTGATAACATAAAAAATATACAAGAAAAAATACTGGGAAAAAACCCTAAAAGTTGGAATAGAGAAAACCTTTGAGATTTTCAAGATATAAACCCCATTATTATTCATAGGAGTAAATAATGACTATACATATATTAGAGCAATACAGTCAATAGCAGTTCAAAATAACTTATGCCAGTCGGACAACTGTCCTGGTTTCAGCTGGGATAGAATTAATTTTCCTCTTAGCAGCTGATACAGCTCTGATTTGGGATGAGAATAATGTTGATAACACACTGATGTTTTAGTTGTTGCTAAGGAGTGTTTACTGCAAGCCAAAGATTTTTCAGCTTCCCAGGTTTCTTCAGAGAGGAGCTGGGAGGAAGAACAGCCAGGACAAGTGACCCAAACTGGCCAAAGGGATATTCCACACCTTAAAGCCCAGAACATAAACTGGGCTGAGTTGGCTGGGGGCAGATGGTCAATACTGGGGGAGCAGATGGACACTGCTCAGCAGGTGGTGAAAACTGTACTGGGCATTACTTGTCTTTCTTATGTTTTATTCATCTCTCTTTTTGTAGTAGTAGTAGTAGTAGTAATAATAATAATAATAATAATGTTCTTATCACAACTCATGGGATTGACCTTTTTTCCCTCCAGTTCTCCTCCCTATGCCACCCAGGTAATGGGGAGGGTGAGGGTGTGAGTTGGATTAAATCACACCACCACAAAATACAGCACCAGGGCCTTACTTCAGCATCAATACCAGCAAGAACTGAGCCTGAAGGGTTATGGCACCATAAAGGTGAAACTCACCCTGTGGATATGGTGAGCAGAAAATCTGTGTCACATTTAAATACACACCTCAAGCTCTGACTCAAGCAGACAGGGGTTTGTGCCAGTACTCGGGAAGGGGATGAGATTTATATCAATATCCTCAAATGACTTTTGTTAGAAGGTGGAACTCTAATTGTCTCTGAAGGAATATCATCATTTCACTGTAACTTTTTCCAACAGAGAAGCAGCACATACATATATATATATATATATGCAATCAATTTGATTAAAGAGATTTAAGTTTCCCATTCAGTAAAAGACTTCCTGACAGAAAGAAATCTATGCATTTCTGAGTGTTCTACTAGGGTTGATACTAATGTGCTAAAAATCCCTTATGCCTTCTGTAATAAATGAAACTTATGCAACTTTCATATTAACATGTTAATGAATCAATATTAACACAATTATTAACATGTATCAATGCATTTCATTTATTAAAATATCAACAGTTGATCATAAGAGGTTAAAATATAGAATGAATTATGATATATTGTAAATATTTTTATTCACTCTATGGATATTTACAAGTTAAAATTGAAAAACCTACCTCAACTTCCTGAACACGTAAGCATTACAAATGAGAAAAGAAATAAGAATGAAATAAAGCAATATAAAATTAGGTTAACATTCATCAATTATCTCCTTACTGATCTTTTAAATGTGAAATCACTTATTTCAGATGACCTTCACCCCCAAATGGAACAATTTTCTCTCTTTCTTTTCTGCCCTTTCCACCTCTGCTGCCATGACCTAGTTTTTATCTGCTGCCTTATTAGCCAAATGCCATTCTAGTAATATGTTTTCTTTCTTGTAGAGCACCAAAAAAAGGCTTTTTCATTCCCTTCTGGCAGGCAAAATCACCGGAAAGTGTTCTCCACACACTGATCCGTACATACTTGGTATAAGAGAGATGTAATTTAATTTTTTTCCTAGCTGACTTTAAAGACTATTTATTGGATGGACTTAGAAGAGAATGCAAAACTAGGCACAGGGCCACTTCAATACAGAAGGTGACAGCCACTGAGAAATATTTTTGATGAACAAATATTCAAAAATATCTTTCCTCTTCCATAGAATTCACACTTTGAAGGTTTTGCCCATGGTTCAGTGAGTGCATATGACTAAGTCTATCTTTTAATTAACTGAAGGGACTCTGCACAACTAAAATCATGCATGAAAAGAGAAGAGCTGATGATACTGCAAGCCAAGGCTGGATCTGACTCCCTTAGCTCAACTCAGTGTTACAGAAAAATGATGGGTTGGATTGGACTCTGCAACTGGCTCCTTATGGACTCTGAGTCTCACATCACAGGTTAAATATTCCACTTCCAATTTCAGGAAAAGAAATTCAACTCCTGTCAAACTGGGCCCAGTGCAATTCTTGAGGAAATCCAGAGTTCAGTTCTCTTCTCACTAGGTGTGGGGTAAGGACTTTGGCACGATTCTTCTCTGCCCCCTTTATAAAGTCTATTGCCTGCCTGAGGTGGGTAACAGCCTGGGATAACAAGGCAGGGAGCCCAGGGGCCCCTCACACAGAAAGAAGCTCACCAGTGACTTTCCCCACCCCAATTACATTGCAAGACTTGAGACAGGAGCTGCTTTTTCTGTTCTGCATCTCTTCGCCACGTAGCATCATGGAACCCTTCTTCTATATTTTACCCTCAGGATATCTAACTTAAGAATCAGTAGTGAACATAACAAATGAAAAAAATATATAAAAGCCAATATAAATTACTAGACTTGGGCCTCAGTTCTTCATTGCATTTTTATTATGTTAGTTTGAGCAATTAAGAGATTAGAGCAAATGCATTTTCACGGAATCACAGAGCTGGAAGGGACTGACAAGGATCATCAGGTTTGATTCTTAAGCAAATGGCCCACATGGGGATCAAAACAGTGACCTTGACATCACTAGCACCATGTTCTAAAATCCATTTTGCCACATCATGCATAATAAATTGTTGTTTCTTAAGAAGACCAAAATGATCTTTTAGCATTCAATATATGGGTGTCAAATTCAGCCAACTTGATTGATGTGCCATCAGCAAAGTCAATCAAGACAATGATCATATCTTAAACTAAGTATGCAAAGGGCATGTTCATAAGAACTTTCAAAAATCTTACTCATGAGAACGCTTAGATTCATCAGAAATCATAGATTGGATTCTGATTTGCAAACAAATCAAGCCTTGAAGTAGACCTGGGTCTAATACAATGTCCTGTTAGTCACCTCAGAAAAGTCAGCAAATAGAAATTGTCCCTAAGACCAGGACATTAATATGAGACTGCTCTTCTCTCCTATTACCCCTTCTATCACTACAATAACAATAGAGTTTAAAAAAATGAAATGAATGGCAAAACCAAACACATTTATCCTCTTTTCCCCTACCAACTAAGAAAGTAAACAACAGCTTCTCGTTCTCCTGAAGTTTAAGTATTAAAGTTATTCCCACTAATCCTACTCTTTTGTCACTTTGAATTTAGTTATTACCTAAGACTTGATATTTTGGAAGAGTTAATGAAGCATGGATAATTTAACACACAAACACTCTCTACATTTTATTTACTTGTCAAAAAGAAGCTCTTGCAAGATGCTCTTATTTATAAATACAGCCAAACATTAGCTAAATGGGTTCATAAATATTTATATTTGTTGCATTAATTGAGCTTATAACTTATTTGTATGAGTCAAGAAGAAATGAGATGCTGACTGAAAACATTCTCCTGATTTTGTACTTTTCAGAACCAGCTCATCTCAGTTTGCTCCCCTAAGGCCTGGGAGGATGCCTCAGAACTGGAGGAGCCTGACAGGTACAGAATCATCAGGAAAGCCTCATCACAGACCCCTCCTGAGAAACCTCCTACACAAAGGAGGAACCCCAGGTCACAGAGACCCACGAAGAAGCAATCTTCCTTCCCAGACCCTCCTAGCCAACACGAGTTTAAATTTCTAAGTACCTCCAGAAGGGACATTTATTAACACTGCTTTGCACCCTGCTTAGTATTTCCCTCTTTCACCTTCCATCTATGAATAAACCATTTACCCTCATAAGGACCAGCTGGAAAAAGTGGTAATTACCAGCTCATTGCTTTTGTTAAAATTAGCTCCAGAAAGATGCAGCTGCATTTTCTGTCTCTCTACCTTGCAGTGCAGAAGATCATTCCAACACCAAGCAGTGTTAAAGCACCAGCTGCTGCTTGCTAAAGTCAATCCAGCCTGTCATAAGTATCTCCTCAAAGCCTATTGCCTGTATTAAACAAATAGCTTGTGTCAGCAAATTACACATTATTTATTTATCTATTTATTGTTTTTATTTGCCTAAGAGGAAGAGAATGTATTTTACCCACTGAGTATTTCAGTGAACAAAGCTCCCCAATGAGATCTCTTTGTTAAGACGTCTCTAACCAATTCTGTGCTTTCCCTCAGGAATCAGAGAACTGCATTCAAACAGGATGCTTTGGCTTAGTGAATTAGTAATGCTGGTGCTGGAGATACTTAGTTTTAAATTTTATATGGGAAAGCTTTAAATTTAGGGAGATATGTCACAGAAAGGCCAGGAATATCTGGGTTTACTGAAAGAGCTCTCAACATTAAATGGTGACACTGGAGAATCCATGGGAGTAGAATGCAGTGTCACATGTAATAAAAAGTCTGAAGATGGCAGGACCTGCATAAAATGCTGTCAATTAATAAAAATGTAATGAATTGATAAAAGTATAGCCATTCACATTAGATTCTTATATAATGGCAAATACATTAACAGTAGTTTATTAATAACAGTATAAAATGCATAAATAAATATTCTAATGAGTCCTCAGATGTGTATGGCATTGAAAAGATCCTTGACCACATCTTAGAATCTCAGATTTCTCATAAGACTCAAATTCTCAGCACAGAGACTTTCGCTCAGCTACCACTAATGTGCAAAACCAACTTCTTCTGGCCATATTAATGGCCCAGAATACTACTGGGTTTCTTATTTTCAAAAATTAAAATGTTTTTTGGTTGGTTGGGCTTTTTTATGCTATATTAGGAAAGAAGATTTGCTACTCCTGTTTTGCTGAAAGACTTTTCCAGAAGTTTCCATGAGCAACACTGAGAAAGTGGCAGGGGAAACTTTCAGTATAGACTTTTCTTACCCATACTCACAATCATTCACTGAGGTGGGAACAATTTCAAAAATTAAATTAGAATATTTGGAAAAAATTGAAATATATTCCTTACTCCTGAGCCCATAACAGCTAGAATACGAACTGTCATTCTTTAAAATTCAATCACATGGTGTTTTATATAGAAATCTTCCTGCTGCTGTCTTGCGTTTTGCAGTTGGTTGTTTTTGTTTTGGTTTTGCTTTGTTTGTTTTTGGGATTGTGGTGGTTTTTTTAGTTTTTAGTGTTTGTTTTTTTGTTTTTTTTTAAAGACAAACATAGTAAGAATTAAAAATATTTCTTTAAAAACCCCAAACCACTCTTTGTTTACCCAAAAGAATGAAGCCAGAGTGTATGTCTACAATGCTGAGGGCAAACAGATGCTCATGTTCACTGCTGTTCATCCTGCTCCAAGCAGGATGAATGAGGGCCAGCTGTGAGCCAGCAGCTACAGAGCTGCTGTGGCACAGCCCTGTGCCAGCACACATGGCTGCTAGAGCTGATATATTTGGGTGGCTCAGACAATCACACAACTATCTGTGCTGGTCTGTGCTGGAATATTTACTAGGAATAAAACTAGGGAAAAAGTGACTTGGTTTTATTATCCTTTGCTCTCCCTTTTGGCAGACTAACTTCCGAACTCTTCCTCTCATTAGCATGTGCTAAAGATCCTGTCATCCCTGCTTGAATTCAATAATTCTCTCTAACTTCACGTTCATGAAGCTTTTTACACTTTAGTGTGTCCCGCTGGTCACAGCAGGTTCTGCTGCAGGTTGGACAGATCTCACAAGGCCACAAAACTCCCAAGGAATGGACTCACTGGTCCCTGCTGGGCTGGATGTGCTGTGCTGTCATAGGTGCCACAACTCCAAGGCCAGATTGAACATTGGAGTGGGAACCATCCACTTCCACTTTCCCCAGCTGAGCAGCACCCAGTCAGACAGGAAGGAAGAAACAGAGCCAGAGATAACAAAAATATATTCCCTCTGCTTCCAGGTGCAATTCTTCAAACAGCATTACTTCTGATCACTGAACTAGGCATGAATTCCCAGCTGAATAGTCAGGGTAACTTACTGCCTCTGGTGAGTCTTACAAGGTCCCAACCAATCAACAAAAATAACAGAAGTGTCCAGCATGTGAGCTTAAGATTCACAGTCACAACCTGGCCTAATGATGCTTTCTCACATGATCATTGGCTTGTTTTCCACTTATCAAGACCACCATGCCTTTATCTCAGTGTATAATTGCAAGTATTACTGGGGAATGGCCCCTACAGGTTCTCTATAGAGAGAATAGTATTGTTAATAAATCATATTCTCAACTGAGGTAATACTGAAAATCTTGAAAGAAGAGCCGCTGAACTCCTTCCACATCTTAATTTTCAATCAAAAATTCAAATTACGTGCT